GTTCATGGAACTCAAATCGGACACGCATCGTCACGAACACCGCTTAAAAGTCGAAGCCCACGTACAAGGGATAAACATTGACTATGTGCATTCACCATTTCGTTCGGTAATTTGAACGGTACTTCGACTGTTGAAAATAGACCGGCCGCACAGCCTATTTCTCTGGAACTGTCTTGGGCATGAAACCATGCGTGCGGTCGGTCAAAAAGAGACTTCCAGGAATTTCCTGAACCCCTTCTCTGATCTGGGTGGTTTTTGGATATGTTGTTCACTCAGATCAGGGCTATCAGGGGATATGTTGTATTTTGGACTTTATATAAATGTGTGTTTTTTCTGTCTGGGGATAATTAAGTAAATGTATTATCTACCTTATTTATATATAGCAGGCAGAGGGGAGGGATTGTGGGTGTATTATAGGAGTGTCATATAGTTAATTATTGTTCTTAATGGTTTATTCCCTTTGTGTCCCTGTGCCCAACAAGGTCCACCTGGGTGTCAACCTTGTTGGGAAACTTGTATAAAAGGCCAACTGTGGCTTCCATTAAACAGACTGCTTTTACCCCTTCATGAAGTCTTGGCTCATGTGTGGGGTATTGGAGAATTACACCCTGGGGATTGCTATAATCACTATGCTCCCCTACCTCTTCTAAGAGCTGTTCCTGCTACGCTCTCTGGAGTAAGAGAGGCCTGCCCACTGGGATCTGGATCCTGGTCGTGGGTCCAGGGTTGGTGGAGGATCGCGAGACCCCAACCAAGATGCGGTGGTTCATGGGGTCTACAGTGCTTATGGTGTCTGGTGGAGTGCTTGGAGCCCTCGGTAAGCACTAGGAGCATCGTTTGACGGAGGTACTCGGTCGGGGTGCCAGGCGGTCCGTCACAAAAAAGTTACCAGCAAACTATCCCAAAGCCCAATGTTTTTACTTAGATAACACAAGTATAATGTTCCTCTGAATATTGGGAGGTATGGACTGCGAAGCAGAAAGTTAGAACCTCACATAGCTAATAATACATTGTCTGCAGCCAGTCCTGATAGTTTCCTTCTTCTAAATTTATGTGTCACCCAAATTATGGAGACAATGTATAATTACAAAGGAAAGGGTAGGTCAGGGCTGGCTGCATGCAATGCATACATCCAGCACCCAGCTGAGGTCATTATTGCAAGCAGCATGCAGTCTTGAAGTCCAGGATTCATGTGATGTTGGCTGCCAGCACTGACCTATTCTTACTCTGGATTTAGGTGCTGTTGGTTGCCAGCCTTAACCTACTCTTACTCAGTTTATACACTGTCTGCTGCCAGCCCTGACCTATTATTACTCTGGATTAATGATCCGTCTGCTGCCAGCCCTGACCTATTCTTACTCTGGATTAATGATCTGTCTGCTGCCAGCCCTGACCTATTCTTACTCTGGATTAATGATCCGTCTGCTGCCAGCCCTGATCTATTCTTACTCTGGATTAATGATCCGTCTGCTGCCAGCCCTGACCTATTCTTACTCTGGATTAATGATCCGTCTGCTGCCAGCCCTGACCTATTCTTACTCTGGATTAATGATCCGTCTGCTGCCAGCCCTGACCTATTCTTACTCTGGATTAATGATCTGTCTGCTGCCAGCCCTGACCTATTCTTACTCTGGATTAATGATCTGTCTGCTGCCAGCCCTGACCTATTCTTACTCTGGATTAAGGATCTGTTTGCTGCCAGCCCTGACCTATTCTTACTCTGGATTAAGGATCTGTTTGCTGCCAGCCCTGACCTATTCTTACTCTGGATTTAAGTTCTGTTGGTTGCCAGCCTTAACCTACTCTTACTCAGTTTATACACTGTCTGCTGCCAGCCCTGACCTATTCTTACTCTGGATTAATGATCCGTCTGCTGCCAGCCCTGACCTATTCTTACTCTGGATTAATGATCTGTCTGCTGCCAGCCCTGACCTATTCTTACTCTGGATTAATGATCTGTCTGCTGCCAGCCCTGACCTATTCTTACTCTGGATTAATGATCTGTCTGCTGCCAGCCCTGACCTATTCTTACTCTGGATTAAGGATCTGTTTGCTGCCAGCCCTGACCTATTCTTACTCTGGATTTAGGTTCTGTTGGTTGCCAGCCTTAACCTACTCTTACTCAGTTTATACACTGTCTGCTGCCAGCCCTGACCTATTCTTACTCTGGATTAATGATCCGTCTGCTGCCAGCCCTGACCTATTCTTACTCTGGATTAAGGATCTGTTTGCTGCCAGCCCTGACCTATTCTTACTCTGGATTTAGGTTCTGTTGGTTGCCAGCCTTAACCTACTCTTACTCAGTTTATGCACTGTCTGCTGCCAGCCCTGACCTATTCTTACTCTGGATTAATGATCCGTCTGCTGCCAGCCCTGACCTATTCTTACTCTGGATTAATGATCTGTCTGCTGCCAGCCCTGACCTATTCTTACTCTGGATTAATGATCTGTCTGCTGCCAGCCCTGACCTATTCTTACTCTGGATTAAGGATCTGTTTGCTGCCAGCCCTGACCTATTCTTACTCTGGATTAAGGATCTGTTTGCTGCCAGCCCTGACCTATTCTTACTCTGGATTTAAGTTCTGTTGGTTGCCAGCCTTAACCTACTCTTACTCAGTTTATACACTGTCTGCTGCCAGCCCTGACCTATTCTTACTCTGGATTAATGATCCGTCTGCTGCCAGCCCTGACCTATTCTTACTCTGGATTAATGATCTGTCTGCTGCCAGCCCTGACCTATTCTTACTCTGGATTAATGATCCGTCTGCTGCCAGCCCTGACCTATTCTTACTCTGGATTAATGATCCGTCTGCTGCCAGCCCTGATCTATTCTTACTCTGGATTAATGATCCGTCTGCTGCCAGCCCTGACCTATTCTTACTCTGGATTAATGATCCATCTGCTGCCAGCCCTGACCTATTCTTACTCTGGATTAATGATCTCTCTGCTGCCAGCCCTGACCTATTCTTACTCTGGATTAATGATCTGTCTGCTGCCAGCCCTGACCTATTCTTACTCTGGATTAAGGATCTGTTTGCTGCCAGCCCTGACCTATTCTTACTCTGGATTAAGGATCTGTTTGCTGCCAGCCCTGACCTATTCTTACTCTGGATTTAGGTTCTGTTGGTTGCCAGCCTTAACCTACTCTTACTCAGTTTATACACTGTCTGCTGCCAGCCCTGACCTATTCTTACTCTGGATTAATGATCCGTCTGCTGCCAGCCCTGACCTATTCTTACTCTGGATTAAGGATCTGTTTGCTACCAGCCCTGACCTATTCTTACTCTGGATTTAGGTTCTGTTGGTTGCCAGCCTTAACCTACTCTTACTCAGTTTATACACTGTCTGCTGCCAGCCCTGACCTATTCTTACTCTGGATTAATGATCCGTCTGCTACCAGCCCTGATCTATTCCTACTCTGGATTAATGCACTGTCTGCTGATCTATTCCTACTCTGGATTAATGCACTGTCTACTGATCTATTCTTACTCTGGATTAATGCACTGTCTGCTGCCCTTACCTATTCTTACTCTGGATGAAGGATATGTTTGCTGCCTCCCTGACCTATTCTTGCTCTGGATTAATGATCCGTCTGCTGCCATCTATGATCTGTTCTTGCTCTGGATAAACGTGCTGTCTGCTTCTAGCTCGGACTTGCATTAATGAGGCTGCTTAGATGATGTCATTGTGGCGGCTTCCAATTTATAATTTTAAATTCAAAAAGTCTACAAAACAGGAAAATGAATGACGAGTTACTAGGAAAAGTGAAGCTCCAGGTCATTGCACCATCAAGTCACAGTTTTGTCTTCCCTGAGCATGTCACCATGGATTACCGTTACTGGCACATTACATCGATAATGCCTTTGGATGCAGCCTGACTTCCGGACAGAAGAGCTGTTAAATCTTATCTGCTTGGCCTATTTTCTGAATCTGATATGGAATTCAATGTGTGTGTTCCTCTCATAACATTGACTAGTGAACAAACTACATTTGTGCACAACGAAAAAATTTGGGTAGTCCAAAATGATTTTTTGTTTCAGGTGACTCGGATGTCATCCATATAGCATCTCGGTTCAGACAGATTGTCCATGTAATCAGGAAAAATTATTCAGACGAACCAAAAATTGCAGAAATGGACTGTTCAGAGTACTACAAAATATGCACACAGTATAAATATTAATAAAAATATTATGTACATACAGTACAACTTTAAGAGCATTGTAGCAAAATCCACCTGGCTGCCCAGCATATTCCCCTTCCATTGTTTTCCCCATAGACTTTCGTGTGAATTAAAACGTTCGTCTAATTGTTCCCATAAACTGTATTGAAATACTTTATTCATCATACGAACACAAACTACCGAACACTGGACCACCTTGATGCATAAGTGTGACTTCAATTAACCTCCCTGTTTGCTTCATTGAATTCCCCATTGAAAAGCACAAACTAGTTGTTAAAGTCCCTGGGTGGCCGCCATTTCGGGAGCCGAACACGTGGCGGCGGCCATCTTAAACTCCCGAACAGTGTTTTGCCGTCGAGTGTCTGGAACTAAAATCGGAGACAAGACTAAGCGAACACCGCTGAGACCTCCAGAACTATGGAAGAGACTGATAGAAACTCCCGAACGGCCTGCCGTTCGGTAGTTTAAATCCCACGAACAAGGGGATTCATCCAAATGCAAACACAGCTCTGGAAGGCATTGAGTTCGGGACTTTTTAGACACAAAAAGAGACTGACCTCAAGGCCAAAACTCATGGAACTGTTTTCGGCTACTGTTGCCTGTGTGGTCAGTCAAAACTTTACACCTCCATAATTCCCGAACCCCTGGTCTGATCTCGGTGATGTTTGAGTATGTTGCTCACCCAGATCAGGGCTATCAGGGGATACCATATTAGGGGTGTACCTTATGTATTTGGGGTACATCTAGAACTTGGGGAAAATTGTGTACCTTTTTAATTATGTTAAATGTTTATCTGAGGGGAGGAGATGTGTGGGTTGTACCTTGTACCCGATTGGTTATTGTAATAATTATGGTGGGTGTCTGCTTTGCATGGGAGGATTGCATAAAAGCAGGGGTTGCGTGATTAAAGTTCAGTTCTGCTCCTGATACTGTGTGTCGTCCAGTTATTGGGAAAGGTGATGGGATATTCTTGGGTTATATTGTTGATGGTGCCTGCTACTCTATTGGATTTACTACTTGTTCCTGAGCTATTCTAGGATACCAGCGGAAATAGGCTGTGGGAGACCAGCTCTCTGCTACATTGGTTGGCAGCGTCAGGATCCAGACTCAAAGAGTAACAAGTACCAATGGAGTACGGATGGAGATCGATTATTCCACACTAAAGCGGTCCACGTTAAAGGATCTTCTGGAAGCAAGGGGTATTCCGGCCAGCAATAAGACAAAGGCTGTCCTGGTCTCAGAAGTCATGGCGGAATACCGAGCAGAGGGTGGTTTGCCTCCCGAACAGAGAGGCTTAACAGGCGAATTGGAACGTTTAGAATTCCAAAGGGAATTACAATTCAGACTATCGTTTTATGGGGAAAACCCACCAACAGAACTCATCTCTTGAACCATGACAGAGGTGCAGGAATTTATACTACGGCGGAGGGACCAGCAACCTCCAGAGAGGAGCCAAACAGTTCCTATGGGACAGGAGGGGAAGCCTAAAATACCATACCAGGCTTTCAAAATGTATGTAGAGGCGGAGGAGGATATAGATGCATTCCTCCAGGACTTTGAAAGGCTGTGTGCCCTACACAAAATTGACATGGAGGATTGGGTCCCTATTCTTGCCGGCCGGTTAACGGGGAGAGCAGCAGAAGCATATCGCACAGTCCCTGACGAGGAAATCAGGAACTATAGCCAAGTCAAGGAAATAATATTGGCCTGGTATGCCATGACACCAGAAACCTACCGGAGGCGGTTCAGGGAACTTAAAAAGACTGAGAAGTTACACAGAGCGGCCCTGGGATGGATACAAGCACACAAAGCCAAATCCATGGAGGACCTGATGCAAATGTTGCTGATGGAGCAATTTTTTGATGGGCTACCAGCAGAAACCCAGGAGTGGGTGAGGGACTGCAACCCAACCTCCCTCACTGAAGCGGCCCAGAAAGCCGACGAATACGTGGATGCCCAGAGACAACAGAAATCTGTCCCCGCCAAGGCAGCAGCAAGACCCACCGTGGCACCCACCTACTCCACCAGCTCAGCAGCACCACCCAGGCAGCTTCCACCGCCGGGGACTTCCCAGCAGCGATTCCGGCCACCCAACACTCTGCAGTGTCATCAATGCCAAGGAGTGGGACACTACAAGAGGGACTGTCCGCAACTACGAGATCGAATTACCTGGATCCGGCCCGGCCCACCACGACCACCGCGAGCAGCCGTCCACTATTACCAGGCAGAAACTCCAGTCACCTACGGAACAGCAGTGCCAGCTACTTCGGTCGAGCAATGGGAGGTGTTCCATGAGGCTGATCCAATCTAGGCTGAGGCAGACAATCTCCAACATCGTCGGCAGACTGTTGATCTGGAAGGGAAACCAGTACAAGGGCTCCGCAATTCTGGAGCCACCATCACTCTGGTTAAGAGTCACCTGGTGCCTAACAACGCCAAGACTAGCCGGACTGTAGCCGTAAGGGTAGCCGGGGGAGCAGTGTACCAACTACCAACAGCCCAGGTACATTTGAATTGGGGAGCGGGGTCTGGGAATGTGGAGGTGGGGTTGATGCCGCAACTACCCGCCGAAGTTTTGTTGGGGAATGACCTGGGGAGACTGACATCCGCTTATGAGCCACAGATTCCAGCCACTGGAGAAGCGCATCCCACCAACAGGCCCGCACCCAGGACCTCAACTCACACCAGGAGGTTCAGGTAAGAGACCCTTCCCCTTCTTTAGAGTATGTTCCCTGGGTGCCCCCTAGTGAGTTTGAGGCAGAAGTAGCTACCGATCCCACACTACAGGTTTATAGGGATAAGGTTACGTCTGGTTAACCCAGGGTAGAGGGGGAGCGATTTGTATGGGAGGGGAAATTGATATACCGAGAGACTGAAAAGAGAGTAGACGGGTCAGACCCGATCACCAGTAGGCAGTTGGTGGTACCGCAGAGGTACCGATCAGAACTGCTCTGGATAGCGCATGATATTCCACTATCCGGCCACCTAGGAGTGAGCCGTACTCGGTACCGGTTAACCCAGAGCTTTTTCTGGCCGGGGATAAGTCAGGATGTTAGGAGGTATTGCAGCACATGCGACACCTGTCAGAGGGTAGGAAAGAGGGGGGACCGCAGGAAAGCTAAATTACACCCCTTACCCATAGTCAAGGAACCGTTCAGCCGAGTAGCAGTTGACATAGTAGGTCCCTTGAAGAAGGCTAGCTCCTCTGGCAAACACTATATTTTGACAGTGGTGGACTATGCCACCAGGTATCCAGAGGCGGTGGCGCTGTCTAACATCCACACAGAAACGGTAGCTGAGGCCCTCATGCGAATCTTCTCCAGAGTGGGGTTACCCAGGGAGATCGTCTCGGATCGGGGCACTCAGTTTACCGCAGAGGTCACTCAGCACCTCTGGAAATTCTGTGGTATTAAACCCATAGTTAGTACCCCTTACCACCCCCAGACCAATGGGCTCTGCGAACTCCGCTAAGTGTAGGGATGGCTGAGGTTCAGTACCTCGGACATAGGGTAGGTTGTGGGAAGCAGAAACCTGAGCCAGCGAAGGTAGAGGCCGTAGCTCAGTGGCCAACCCCCAGGACCAGGTATTAGCCTTTCTAGGGACGGCAGGGTATTGTAGGAAGTTTGTTCCCAATTATAGCACCCTGGCCAAACCCCTTACCCATCTTCCCCGCAAAGTAACCTGGACCCCGGAGTGTGAGCAGGCATTCCAACAATTGAAACATGCTCTTATAAATGCCCCTGTCTTGGCAGCTCCCGATCCAACTATACGCTTTCTTGTTCACACAGACGCTTCTATGTTTGTATTGGGAGCAGTACTGAGCCAAGTCGGTGCCGATGGCGGAGAACATCTAGTGGCGTACACGTGGCGGCGGCCATCTTAAACTCCCGAATAGCGGTGTTTTGCCGTCGAGTGTCCGGAACTAAAATCGGACATTCGACTAAGCGAACACCGCTGAGACGTCCAGAGCTATGGAAGAGACTGATAGAAACTCCCGAACGGTCTGCCGTTCGGTAGTTTAAATCCCATGAACAAGGGGATTCATCCGAATGCAAACACAGCTCGGGACTTTTTAGACACCATATTTAGGGGTGTACCTTATGTATTTTGGGTACATCTAGAACTTGGTGAAAATTGTGTACCTTTTTAACTATGTTAATTATGCTACTCTATTGGATTTACTACTTGTTCCAGAGCTATTCTAGGATACCAGCGGAAATAGGCTGTGGGAGACCAGCTCTCCGCTACAAGCATTGTTCTGCCATTTGGTTCACAGATCAAGTAAGAAGAAGATGTAAAATAGAAGTACACAATGGATGTAAAATGGAAGTAATGGCAGTTATAAAGTCTATTGATCACTATTGATCTGCGAATAGAAATCCGCATTCAGTGGCTGTCCTGAATCTTTTCCATCAATTATAGTTACATAGGTTTTTCTACTCAATGGACCGAACCTCAAATCGCCAAAATGGCTCATCCATCAAGTGTTTCAAACGTTGGCATTTGGGTTTATTGCAGAGTCACAATTCTTTGTGTACTTCCTCCCGACCTCCGCCATCTTTACCTTCACTTCCTCTCGACCTCCGCCATCTTTACCTTTAATTCCTCCCTGGCCTCCGCTATCTTTACTTCCACCTGACCTTGGCCATCTTTACCTTTATTTCCTCCTCACCTAGAGTCACGGCGCAGGGGCTTTGTATCGACGTGGTCGCGCTTGATCAGTGCGGCCATGCCGATACTTTAGATAAATGTCCCTGATCAGCGAGGCCGCACATGCTGAAAAGGAAAAAAAATTTACTTGCCTGGATCGCGGCGGAGTGCAGCCCGATCCTCCAAGAAGATGGGTCCCGGCTGATGTGACGTTCTAAGGGACGCCAGACACTGCGTCCCCATTCTTACTGTTAAAGGGCACACTGCCCACATTAAAGATGGCGCCGCTCCGCGTGTGAAGTCACATTATCGATGCACACACACGTTTTGGGGTAAAAGGCCATGTACTAACCAATCACAACACTGAGAGGCATATTTAAACCCTGTAATACCTTTTCTCAGTGTCCTGTCGTGGTTTCCACTTGTTGGTTGTCAGAGAGCTCGTTCTTGGTATATTTTCAGGTTATTGACTTTGGCTATTGTTTTTTTACTTTCCCTTCTTAAGGTATCCTGACCCTTGGCTAGTTATACGTATTGTCTCATTCTATTTCCCCAACCTTAGCTTGTTCTCTGACCATTCTCTTTTATGTTAAGTCCAGCCATTCTAAGGTCCGGTATACGTTGTTTGTATTTGTAACGGAGCTTCCTGTACCCCGGTTGGGTACCTCCGCCTACGGATGCTCCTAGTGCTTACCGAGGGCTCCAAGCAGTTGTCCAGACACCATAAGTACTGCAGACCCCACGAACCGCCGCAGATTAGTTGGGGTCTCCTACCCACCCTGGACCTACGACAAGGCTCCAGGTTCCAGTGGGTGAACCTCTCTTCCTCCAGAGAGTGAAGCAGGAACAGCTCTTACAAGACCTTCAAGGGAGTATGAAGAGCATAGCAATCCCTTGTAGCTGTTTCCCCCAATAAAAGATAGAACTCAGTACTGAAGGTGAAGTAGAACAGAAGGTTTATTGAACACACTGGCCTTTTATACAGTTTTCACAGCAAAGGTGACGCCCAGGTGGACCTAGTTGGGCACCGAACACAAAACATACAAACCAATAAAAACAGAGATTTCCATTCAGACACTCCCATACAGTGTACACAATCCCTCCCCTCTGCCTGTGATATAATTAACGAAGACAATGGACTAACTCAATTAACTCTAAGCAGAAAAAAACATGCACATTTTTACAAACCCCAAAAAACAACATATCCCCACAATAGCCCTGCTCTGGGTGAACAACATATCCAAAAATCACCCAGATCGGTTCAGGAATTTCCTGGAAGTCTTATGGAACTGCGCACATGGTCCCATGCCCAAAACAGTTCCATACACTCTACGGCAAAACACTGCTGGTCAATTTAAGATGGCCACCGCCACATGTTTGAATCTGTTCCAGTTAAAAGTCCAAGGGGCAAAAACCCAATACGTCACAGGGACCATAATCCTAATGTAAAAGGCTAGCCATGAGTCCTCTCCAAAAACCAGTGGCAAAGTGGCTTTCGCCAAAGTATTAATATGGTTTTGTGTGTTGGGTCACACAGTAATAGTGACATTACGACAAGGCCATGGACCCTGCATGGTCCATGTTGGTTTGCGAGAGGAGACTGGAGGAAAATGATCACCGCATGGATCAATTTGCCCAGGCCTTCCAAATGCTTCTAGTCCGTACAGCTCATCTTCAGCCCCATGATCCAACGTCAGTTCCTACCCCTCCTGTTGTGAGTATTCCTATTGTATTTAAGGCTCCTTCGATAAAATTATCACCTCCTCCTCATTTTGGAGGCAATGCTCAGGAGTATCGCGGATTTCTTAATCAAATAAAATATCACTTTGAGGCGTCTCCTGAATCATTCCCTTCTGATAGATCCAAAATAGGTTTTCTAATGAACCAATTGACAGGTAAGGCCCTAACATGGGCCAATCCTCTATGGGAGAGCAATAAATCTATAGCTTATGACTATAAAGAACTCCTTGCAGAGTTTAAACTGACATTTGAGACATTGGGTAAAGAAAAAAAACTGCTGCCAAAGCATTAATGCGTATAAAACAAGGCAATAGGTCTGTTGCAGATTACGCCATTGAATTTTGTACCCTTGCTTCAGAGGTCGACTGGACTAACAGTGGTTTAATCACTGCCTTTTCCGAAGGTCTGTCTGATGCAGTACTCAATGAGACTGCTGCTAAAGAATTACCAGAAAAACTTAATGAGTACATCACTTATATGATGCATATTGATAACTGTCTAAGAGAGAGAGACAGAACCAGAAATAGACGTTCCAACTTGTATATTGCCCCCTGTTTCTCCACTCGTATTTTACTTGCTCCATCTCCCCCTCCTGAACACAAACCCATGCAATCAGAGGTGATGAGATTATCCGAGGCTGAAAAAATTTATAGGAGAAACGAAGGACTGTTTATATTGTGGGGAAAAGGGTCATTTAAGAATAACTTGTCCTATTCGTCCGGAAAACTTGCGCACCTAAGACCCGTCCGGGGACCGGCCTTACGTGTGATGTATATGTCCCCTGGTGCACCTCATAATAGATTTTTACCCAAAGCAATAATGTACATTTCTTGTGTTATGCTTTGGTTGATTCTGGTGCAGCTGAAAACTTTATAGACCAACAGTTTGATTACCAACCATGTAGTGCCACTCAAAGAAAGAACCACACCTTTGGCCGTCGAGGCCATAGATGGTAGACCACTGTTTCAATCTTTGATCACAAAGG